ATCAAACCAAGTGAAATCATGTGAAACGTGGCTAACACAATACATCAAGGGAGTCCACTGAGGTTTTTTCCAATAATTTATGTGCTCCTGCAGTGTGCCAGGCATTTTAGATACACTGAATTCTCAGAAAAATGCTGCAAGGCATTAATGAATTTATCTAATAAAGAAGGAAATCAAGGTTCAGGGTAGTTAATTATTAACTTTCTCAAGGTCACCCAGCCTCTCGGTAGGAAGCAAGTATCAGAAACCAGTTCTACTGTTGTTGTTCAGTCGCTTCATGGTGTCCGACTCTGCGACCCCATGGACTGCAGCACACCAGGCTTCCCTGTCCATCACCATCTTCCAGAGCTTGCTCAAGTTCATATCCATTGAGTTGGTGATACTATCCAACCATCTCGTCCTCTGTTGTTCCCTTCTCCTCTTGTCTTCAATCTTGCCCAGCATCTTTGCATCAGGTAGCCAAAGGATTGGAGCTTCAGCCTCAGCACCAGTCCTTCCAATGAACACCCAGGACTGATGTCCTTTAGGATGGACTGGTTGGATCTCCTTGTAGTCCAAGGGACTCTTAAGGGTCTTCTTCAACACCACAGTTCAAAAGCATCAATTCTTCAGCACTTAGCCTTCTTTAGGGCCCAACTCTCACATCCACAGAGTTGCCTGATACCAAAGACCATGCTCATGCCATTACATGGTTGAGCTCTTCTGTATACAAAAGATTCCCTACCCTCCCACCTATGAAGGCCAAGCCTCAGGATGCTTTCTGGGCAACCCACTTGTGAGAGCATGCACAGGAAAGAATGTTAAAGCTCCCATGAGAGGGGAAAGTGCTATGTGAGCCACCTAAAGAATTTTACGCTAATGCAGGCTTCCCAGGGCACGTCAGGAAACATCTCAGGAGACTCAGCCCCTATTTCTAAGAAAGAGACCACAAAATGTAAGAAAGACACACTTCTATTCACAATCCCACCCAAATGCTTCTACTTCAATCTTATATGGGCTTCCCTGGTGGCTCAGTGGTAAAGAATCCACCTGCTGATGCAGCAGACATAGGTTCAAGCCCTGGGTTGGGGAGATCCCCTGGAAGAGGAAATGGCAACCCACTCCAGTATTCTTCCCCGGGAAATCTCATTGACAGAGGAGCCTGGTGGGTGACAGTCCATGGAGCCACAAAGAGTTGGACACCACTTAGCGACTGAGCAACAACAATGTAACAATCATATACCAGCAGCCAGCACACTTTTTTTATGTAAAGGATCAGATCATATTTTAGGTTTTGTAGGCCAAACGGTCTCTGACACAACTCTTCAACTTGACAGTAGCATGGAAATAGCCATAGATGATGGTACATAAATAAATGGACATGGCTGTGTTCCAATAAAACTTAATTTGCAAAATCAGTTAAGAGGCCTTTTGCCAACCTATTATGCACCTATGAGAAATGGTGTCCTCCACAGAGAATTACATCAAAAAGGTATGTAGGCACTCTGTCAGCATTACCACCTGACCATGATGGAGAAAATCTCAGTTTCTTAGAAAATGCCCACGGTACCAATCTTTGATAATGATCACTGGTCTCACCTTCTCCCTTGGAAACTTTAGCTGTCTCCCAACCATCCTGTCCTATATGCCAACCTCACAGACATAACTGGAGCCAACCATGGAAAACTTAGGTGACTGGGCCCCTCTGATAAAAGGAAGGGGGTTGTACATGCCTGGAAACCATTTCTCAGCATGACCCCATACTCATGCAATTGTAAACTACTCAGGGGAAGAAGCAGTGGAAAGAAGGACTTGAGTGGAAGCAAACATCATCAAACTTGACATTGCCCTTCATCACACACAAAGAAATAGGCCCAAAAGACGGGCACTCTATTCCCAGAGAAACTGTTTCCTTCAGCCCTACCCCTTGCTACAGAGGTCTGTCTAGTCAAAGCTCTGATTTTTCCAGAAGTCATGTGTGGATGTGAGATTTGGACGATAAAGAAGGCTGAGCACTTAAGAACTGATGCTTTTGAACTGCGGTGTTGGAGAAGACTCTTGAGACTCCCTTGGACTGCAAGGAGATCCAACCAGTCCATCCTAAAGGAAATCAGTCCTGAATATTCATTGGAAGGACTGATGCTGAAGCTGAAACTCCAATACTTTGGCCACCTGATGGGAAGAAACGTACTCATTTGAAAAGACCCTGATGCTGGGAAAGATTGAAGGTGGGAGGAGAAGGGGATGACAGAGGATGAGATGGTTGGATGGTATCACCGACTCAATGGACATAAGTTTGAGTAAACTCTGGGAGTTGGTAATGGACAGGGAGGTCTGGCATGCTCCAAGAGGTTGCAAAGAGTTGGACATGACTGAGTGACTAAACTGAACTAAAATGAACCACTTACTAGCTGTGAACCAGGACAAGTTACTTCCTCTCTCTTGGCCTTTGACTCTTCATCTGTAAGATAAGGATGACAACACTTATCTCATAGTGTTATCTCTATGGCGATGCTCAAAGAGAATACATAGCTGATACAGGTAGCTGATAGCTATGATGACAGTGATGATTCTGTCTTTATTGATGATGATCCTTTCTGCTGCATCCTTCTCCAAAGCAATCAAACACGTTAAGCGAAATTCTCTGATAGATATGACACATAGGCACTAAAGCCCTTGCCTTCACAGAGTATAGCGCAGATAGAGAAATTAATCGCTGGTAGGTGAAAAAAGGGCTTCCCAGGTGGCGCCAGTAGTAATGAACCCGACTGCCAATGCAGGAGACAGAAGAGATGGGGTTTGATCCCTGGGTTGGGAAGATCCCCTGGAGGAGGGCATGGCAATCCACTCCAGTATTCTTGCCTGGAGAATCCCACGGATTGAGAAGCCTAGCAGGCTACAGTCCATGGGGTCGCAAAGAGTCGGACATGACTGAAGCAACATAGCACACACCAGTGAAAAGAATCACAAAAGCAGTTGCTAACAGTCAAATGTTTCAGGCAAAATGTACCATATAATTTCAGAGAGCTCTCCCTCCTATCTACCCCTTGGTCACCGGATGAGAAGTGAGCCCCTACTGGGGACTTTTTGCAGATACCACTTACAGATACCACAGGTACCAAAAGACTTCTCTTTGACTTACCATTATTTGCTTAACAGTGAGGAAGGAGTGGAGGAAAGGTCTAAGAAGAAGCTTCCTAAGAGATGCTTTTGCTTAAGGTGACAATTACAAATTCTTTCCAGATTAAGGAATTCTCACTATAAGCAGTATCATTGACAGTGAAAAGTGAAAGTCGTTGAGTCGTGTCTGATTCTTTGCCACCCATGGACTATAGATAGAGTCCATGGAATTCTTCAGGCCAGAATACTGGCATGGGTAGCCGTTCCCTTCTTCAGGGGAATCTTTCCAACCCAGGGATAGAACCCAGGTCTCCCACATTGCAAGCGGATTCTTTACAGTCCCATTTTTCCTACCAATGATGATGATAGTAATAAATACAATTGTAGTTACAATTTATCATGCACTTACTTTTATCACTTAGTCAAGCATTGGTTAAGTACTATACAGACTAACTTAGTTAACCTTACTTACCATCCTTTAAGGGGGAGATTATTCTTCCAGCTGAGCACTGAGGCTTGGTGGGGAGGGAGGGAGAGAGGGAGGGAGGCATGTGACCTCACTGTGCGTTTGACTTCACTTGATTTAACTTGACTTGACTTTAGTAAGTGTTGGAGCCAGAAAGAGAACCCACAATCTGTGTTTTGACAGAGGCCCGTGTTCTATCAAAGACTGTGGCCCAGAGGATGGGCTCCTTCCCACCCCAGTAACCCAGGTCTCCTCCAGCTTCTATAAAACAGAGAACCAGACATGGGCCGAGGTACTCAGCAGAGAAAATCAACCAGTGCCATGTGGCTTCAACTCACAGTCTAAACCATTCCATGCACCCCAGTGTCCACAACCTTTAGGACAAAGCTGGCATACTATACAGATAACCAAAAGGAGGGCAAGGACAGCTCATTCATTCACTGATGGTCATCAAAACTCTGCCTGCCAGATGAAAGGGATATATCTTTAGTTCACAGTCCTTGCTATTTATCAGGAAAAGATGATATGGCTAAATTTAATAACCAGGCAGAAATATGCCAAGTGCCATTCTCAGAATGAAGTCTGAGGCTGAAAGAAGAACAAGTCCCCCCAGTAGGGAAATAAAATTGGGTCTGTTAATAACACATTGATGGACATCTAGTTTCTGTTGATGGTAAATGAACTTAATCAACTTTGGTCTTCACTGATGATAAATGAACTCTATAATTTGATCACTCTTCAGAAATTATTACCATTCTGTAAGGATTCCGGTTTCCCTAGTGTCTCAGTGCTAAAGAATCCGACTGCCAACGCAGGAGACGTGAGTTTGATCCCTGGGTCAGGAAGAGCTCTTGGAGAAGGAAATGGCAACCCAGGCCAGTATGCTTGCCTGAGAAACCCCATGGATAGAGGAACCTGGTGGGCTACAGTCCAGGGGTTCGCAAAAGAGTTGGACACAACTCAGGAACTAAACAACAACTACAAGGGTTCAACCAGTACTAAAACCTGGGCACTTACAAGATCTTGAAAGATCAGATTAGAAAAGATGTGATTGTAGGCAGTTAGAGCCTTAAAAACACATCGATCCAAGGTTCTTAAGGTTTGAAGGCCAGCTTCTCTATGCCCAGCCATTCTTCTTCCAAATTCTTATGCATTGCACATAGAAAGTCAATTAAAATATTAAAACATACCATCAAACTATTTTTTTTTAGCTAAAAGGATTGACTACTTATGAAAGATGATCCCTGAGTCCTAACTGAAGACAATTAAAGTTGGAAGAGATTAACTCATCTCATCTCCTCATTTTACAGCTGTGGAAGAAACTGAAGACCAAAATGGTGAAATGACTTGCCAAGCCCCACACAGGGACAGTCATGGAGTAACCATGTGGCACCCATGGATAGACCAGGCATGCACATAATCCAAGGCAATTTACCTGAATTTCTTATGTTGGTGTTGTTCAGTTTGGAGTCCTTGATTACCAAGTGTTTAATCCAGAGAGTTGGAGCTGTGATTTCTGGAAAAAAAAAAAAAGAAGAAGAGAGAAAATAAAGTCTGGGCAACAGAGAATATGAAACTTGGGATGTAACACTCAAAACTTTTTAAAAGCCTGAGGCACCAAAGATAGAGCCATCTCCCTCATCCCATGTCCACCTCATCCCAACACCCTCTTGCTTCCTCCCTATGGAAGCTCGTCTCCATCAGCTCAGAGGAGCCAGCTAGGGCCTCTTGTGCTGGGAGGCAGAGTGGTCAGAGTCCAGAGGCATTGAGCCACTCCATCCAGGAATAAAAATATTATCCCAGGAGGTAAGGAAAATGGGCCAAGCCAAGTCTCTCTCAGCTGCTTCCCTGGAAGAAGATTTAAAGGAAATAAATCAACAAACCAATGCCAAAAAAACCACAGAGGCCATTTTGGAAGAAACAGCTGAGCCACAGCAGATTTTAGCTTGCTGAGACTCTGCTCCACATGGGAAAGAAAGTAATGGGTCTAATGTGTGCTTCAATCTCTTTTCAAATGGTTTCTCATCAAACAGAGGCTGAATTCTTCATCCAGAGAGCTTCAGAAGGCCACCAGGCTCTCCAGGGCTGGGGTCACCCAGTGGACAGGTGCTGTGGAAATTTGAGGATGCCCCTGGGCACTGGAGATGAGACCTTTCATGAGTACATTGGAAAGGTCTTCCAAGTTGACGTGGTCTCCATTTCCTATCCAGACTGCACAGGGTCCAGGGTCCCAGACTCGCCAATGATCTAGGACATTTGTGGATCACAGAAACATTTGAACTTTTAGGCATGAACACACATGTGTTCCACTCCATGGCCAGCTGCAAAGGCAATCTTCTGTTTCTGTCTAGAGCTGAGCCAGATAGCTAGGGCCATCCTGAGCCAACAGTTCCAACAAGTGGCATCACTTCTTTTTGTTCCTCTGTCTCACTGTCCAGTTTTAGGGTCCAAACTTGGATATACTCAGCTGAAAGCTGCTAAAAGGTTGCTGAATATTGCACTGAGTGCCACATCTCAGGCTTTCTAGAAATTGCACTCTGCCAAGCTTCCTGCTCCCCGTCATGGGAACCTGGAGTATTTAGCAAAGCCCACTGAAGGATGTAGGCCCCGAGCAGCTCAAACTCAAACTGAAGCCAGCCTTCCGCACCCAAGTTCCAGTTGTCCGCTCCTCAGACCCCCAGAGATACCCAGCCTGCTTTGCCACCAACCACTGCTATTTCTCTTGATCTAGAATTTCTCTTCCCCCAATGTCTTGACTCAACTCTCACGGTCCCTACAAGTCAGCCAAACCAACTCCATGCACCAGTCTCTTCCCTGTGACTTTCCTCATTACACTCTGTTTCCACCATGCTCCCTCCTTTGTCCCTGCCTGGAACACCCTGATTCTTCCCTCACATTTTCAGATCCAGCTCAAGTTCCCTCTCTTCACAGAATCTTTCCCCAGACCACTGTGATCTCTTTCTTCTGGAAAAGTCTATCACAGAAGAAATAAAACTGAGGCCATGTAGCTTCATACATAAATTCTCCAATAGTTGCCACTCTGTTGAGAGCAAAGGCTTTCATCTTATCTATTTCTCCTTCGTCCCCCACAGGCCTCGCACAACGCTGGGCACACAGCGCTACAAGGACTTGTAAGAGCTGACTCATTTAGAAGGATGATGCTGCCGGCCTGTCTTACTCAGCCATGGCTCCTTGGTCTTGGCAGTTTGCAAGGTCCATCCAGGCTGTGTTATTGTTGGATGTTAGTGGCCAGGCAGGAAGCCTGGCGAGAACAGAGGGCCTTTCCAGAAGTGGAGGGTGTACTAGTTCCTGGGAGGGTTTGCATTTTTTTGAAACGTTAAAAACAGCCCAGCTTAAACCGGGAAAAATTGAAATTAAAAAAGGAAAAAAAAAATAATAGTGAAGCTTAAACAAACATCCGAAGGAAAGAACCTTCCCAAATCTGAAGTAATACAGGAGCTTACCGTCTCCATCGAACACCGGCTGGGTCTCCATCGTGGGTGTCGGCTTAGACCCGTCATCTGAGTTGAGGGTTAAAAAGAATCGAAAGGAGACTACCATTATTGAGGTAAATACTATCTACTCTCCAGCACTGTTGAATGGTTGGGGTTTGCACATGGCCCGGCCAAGTCCCAAGGAACAGATCAAAGAAAAAGAAAAGAAAGAAGAAAAGAGCAAGAAAGAAAAGAGCACCAGAGAAGAGACACCAACAGTTAGACAAATCCAGGTGCACGCTCGCCATTCCAGGGAAGGTTGCCAGGTCATCATGGCTCTGGAGGACCCCGTCTCATGAGTCTGCAGCAGCACGACTCTGTCAGCCCTTGCTCTTTCCCCAGGAAAGCTGGGAGCGCTGTCTTCCCAGGAGCCCTTAGATCTGGCCAGGCACATCAGGAGATGCCAGCACACTTACGGCATCACGTGCTGATGTCCCCAGCTCCTTCCTGCCCTCTCGTGCAAGGTACCAACCCAGTACCTCTCTCGTGGCCCTCACTGAAGACTTTGAACAAAACCAAAGACCATGGCGCCATTCCCTCCCAAACCCCTAGCTATTTTTCCGTCCTCATCTAAAAACGAAGTGAGGGGAAGAAGGACCGTTCTCTTTCCAGCATGCTGAACTGAAAAGAATTAGGAATCCTTAGAACACTTTTAACTGTGAAACCAATTTCCAAGGAGAGATGGAGGCAGACAAAATGAGAGGGAACATGAGTAATTGCACTCTGAATTTCCTTTGAAATTTCTAACACAGATGCTAGGAGCAGAGTTCTCAGTAACAAAGTCCTAACACTTATGGTCACAGTAGTGTTGGCAGCTCTGTCTGCAGACCAAGAACCTCTACAGGTCAGAGTAAGTGCAGACTTTATCTACCTTTCAGGACTTTGAATTATGTTCACCAAGATCCCCAAACCTTAATTTTGAACAGTGTTTCTCAACTTTGGCTTTATTATTGTCTATCCAAGGAGCATTTTTAGGCATTTTCTCCTTAACTAGTTTCCTAATGAAGTTTTAATAACAAAGATACACTGTATCTCTGTATGCACTGCATATTTATGTACCGTATGTAAGTCTGTACTTTATATGTAAAAGGAAAAAGGGTTCTTTTGTGCCCCCCAAACCAATTTTCACCTCTTTGTTGAAAGCTGGGAGCAGGTAGCTTTACTTACATTGAGAATGCACAGATCCAAGATTTTTCTGTTTTCTCCCTCAGCAAGGGGAAGGAAGGTGAGCACTGTGGTCTCAGACACTGTGTACACAATCCCTTCTTCCCAAGACACCCAGTGATCTTTGGGGACTAAACATTATATTCTCCAAGCATTAACTATTAATGGAGAATACAAGTTCTCATATCGTCTGCAAGGCCAGTCAGATCATCAGTAATAACAACCTCTACCATTTGGAGCTCCCAGAACTCTTGGCAGACTTCCCTGCATATTATCAGGGGAAGGAGAAAGAACACAGAGAGCTGATCCCTTTTTTTACACCAATACCCCAGCCCTGGGATCTTAAGATTCAACAGCTATGGAGATCCTGACCCTCGCTGGAGGCGGAGGCCAGCAATCTGACAGTTGTGTGACACCTGACCCTGCGTGTCATGTGCCGACATAAGACCCAACTCCCACAGGGGCCAGGGTGATCCCGAACAAGCCAACAATCATCCCCGGACATGAGATGTGTCAGGAGGAGAGGAATAATGAAGCTGAATATCTTATTTGCCTCAAACTGGAGTCCTGAACAGTCATCTTTTGACACCAAACTGCACATTTGATCTGGAAGTCATTGAGGGAGAATAACAGTGCAAAAACACGCAACGTCATTTTTTAAAATAGCATCACTTCCCCGACTCTATTAACACCCCTTTCCGTTGAATTCAATGAACCACTGAATGAAGTCTTTTGGCAGCTGCAATGCACATTTGGTTGCTCCTGCCGGATGCAGGGTTCACAGTCTGAATAGCCCAGCACAGCGTGTTCAGCCCCTCCACACAGGGTGGCTTCCTTTCAGGAGTCTTAAAGGTAACAAAGGGAAAGTGAGAAATCAAACATTCTCAGAGGGACAATGGTGACAAGCCAAGTGCAAAATGGCTTATGTGATATCTTGATATTCAATTAAAATCATCCCATACTCCAAGAGCTATCTCCCTCTCTCTCTGGAGCAGGAAGACAGAAAATACTCTGTTTATTTCTCCCATCACTGACAGGAGAGGCTGGGACGGCCCATCTGGTCCAGCAATCAGCAAAGAAGTCTGCTGCTCAAGGAGAGGAAGAAGGGTTTCCAGTTTCCCTCCGCCCCGGGGAAGTCGAGGACCTCCACGATTGCCCAGATGCAGGTTCAGAAGCCCACAGAGCGTGAAGCCACGTGTAGGGAGCGAATCTTCCTGCAGGGTAGGGTCACCGAGGGTGAAGACATACAGCTGCACTGCCACCACGGAGGCCCTAGCTGGAAACCTTTATGAAGTGAGAAAAGACAAGGTGCCCTGCTGCCAGGAGAACCACCTGTGAAATCCAGCATGCCCCAAGGATGGGGAGCCAAGCCAAAGCCAACAGGACCCTCTGACCATCACCTCCGGGCACCTGGGCACCTGGCGTCCAACCCAGCAAACAAGCGCACCCTTCTCTCAAACATAGGTCCAAGGCCTGGGTCCAAGGTCCACATCAAGCCTGCTTCCTGGCAAGCCCTGGGGCAACACCAGGCCCCACACTGGGCCCTGCGGAGAGAGAAAAGGTTCTATGCGTACTCCTGGCCTCCCAGTTTCCAGTGGGGTAACTGTGCAGACCCCAGCTTTACATCCACTAAGTTGGATAAACTGAACCCCTCGCTTTCTTCTCTGGGCAGTGATATCCTCTTCTAAAAGTGAAGGATAACTGCATCCTAGCCTCAGGACACTGTAGCTATAACAGACTCTACAGGCCTCTTAAAGAAGGCATTAAATCGTCTAGTGTTAAATCATCTTCTCCAACTGCTTACTTTCAAAATTGGATTTGCAGCATGAAAATTCGACAGTTTTTAAAATAAAAAATCAAGTAAACCTTACAACTCAATAAGAAGACAAACAGCCTGATTTTAAAATGGGTAAAATATTTCAGTAGACATTTCCAAGATGCACGGACAGCTAATAAATACCCAAAAAGACATTCAATAGCATTAACTGTTAGGAAACCACAAATTAAAACCATGATGAGATACCACCATGTACCTACTAGAACACCTTAAAATTTTTTAAAAGACACTATCAAGTGACAAGGATATGGAGAAGCTCAAATCCTCATTCACTCTTCATGGGAATGTAAAATTGGGGTAGCCACATTGGAAAAGAGTCTGACAATTTCTTTAAAAATTAAACATAAACTTACCAGTCAATCTTGAAATTTTAATCCTGGGAATCTATCCAAGAAAAATAAAGACATATCCTCCCAAAGACATATATACACATATTCATAGCAGCATTATTCATTAATAACCTCAAACTGGAAATAATCCAGATGTTCTTCTATTGTTGAAGAGATAACCAAATTGTGATACATTCATACAATGGAGTATTATTTAGCAATTAAAAGGAATGAATTACTGATACATGTAATAATATAGCTGAACTTCAAAAATATTACACTACATAAAAGAAGCCATGTGCAAATACTACATATGGTATGACCCCATTATATAAAATGCCTAGGAAAGGTAAATCTATAGAGACAGAAAGCAGATACATGGTTGCCTGAAGGACAGAGTCAATATAACTATAAATGGGTACAAGGTTTCTTTGGGAAGTGATGGAAATGTTCTCTAGTAATAGCTGTACTTCTCTACAGATGTACTAAATTCACTGAATTGTACATTTACAATGGGTAAGTTTTATGGTGTGTAATTATACCTTAATAAAGGTTTTAAAACAAAGGAGGGGCAGAGCACCCAAGACGTCACAGATACATCATCAGGAGGCAGTAGCTAGATTATTCAAGCGATCCTTAATTTGGGGGGACACTCTTCCATAGAGCTTAAAGAAAAATACATCTGAATTTCAGTTTACACACATGCACATGATGATTTCATGTGTGTGTATGTTCACTCTTGGTAATTCTTACAGACCTGCAATAGTAAGACTTTATTTTTTGTTGATGCCATAATACTCCTCCAGATGGAGAAGAAGATAGAATACTGAAAAAAAAAAAACCAATTCAAAGATGATCATTTCTCTTGCAGGGAGAAAAGGTAAATTTGGAAACATTAAAGAAAAGTAGGGGCTTCACAGGTGGCCCTGGTGGTAGAGAACCCTCCTGCCAATGCAGGAGACATAAGAGACCAGGGTTTGAACCCTGGGTCGGGCAGATCCGCTGGAGGAGGGCATGGCAACCCACTGCAGTATTCTTGCTGGAGAATCCCATGGACATGTGTAGATAGAAACATAACATTCATTATTCTAAATGACATAATCCTGAGATTGGCCACAGAAATAAAGAAATCCTAAGGCTGACTTAGGGTGTTGTGGAGAGCCGACTCATTGGAAAAGACCTTGATGCTGGGAAAGACTGAGGCAAAAGGAAAAGGGGGCAGCAGAGGAGCCGAGGATCAGATGGCATCACCGACTCAATGGACATGAATCTGAGCAAACTCCCGGAGACAGGGAAGGACAGGGGAGCCTGGCGTGCTGCAGTCCATGGGCGTCGCAAAGAGTCGGACACAACTGAGCAGCTGAACAACAACAGCCAGAGAAAAATAAGCCAAACCTGAGAACATTTCTCAAGGATGACGTCAAGATCAAGAATAATACGTGTTAGCACATTTTGTAACACTCAAGAGTTCCTAGCAGGTTGCTTTCTTCATCTATTCTTGCCACTAGCCAGGCCAGAGGAAGTCATCAGGCAGATAAAAAGAGATTGAGCTTCGACGCAAGGAAGTGATTTGTTCAAGACCCCAGAGGCAGTGAGCAAGCGGTGCTGGCAACTGCTCAGGCCCGGAGCAGGCATCTGGCCTCCCCCAAATTCCCCAGCCCCCCAAGCACGCCTCCCCTCGCAGGTGCAGCCCCAGA